ATCTCTGTTTGTTCCTGCAAGACCTAGAAAGCCTCCGTACCCGAAATGGTATGATTCTAATGCTAAATGTGAATTTCATGATGGAGCTAAGAGACATTCCATAAAAGATTGTCTGCCTTCAAGGATAAAGTTCAAGCTTTGATCGACGCAGATGCTGTAAAATTTAAAGAGCTAGTTGGTGGTTTTGATGATTGATAGAAGTAAAGTTGCAAGTTAGTGATGCTAAAGTTGAAACATCAAGGGGAAAACTTTTGTTTATGTAACTTTGAATATCACCACAAGAGTATGATCTAGATAATAAATTCTTTTTGGTCAAGTCTTAAGGTTTGCATTGCATGAGTAAACATTGTGCATCATATTGTTTTATTTTATGTAAGTTTCGATATATAGTTGGTTTTTCTAAAAAAAAAAAAAAAGAAGGAAGATGTTAGATGTGAATAAAGCCCCATGTGGTTAAGTACCAAGACTAGAGAAATTCTCTTGAAAAAAAAAAGAAAAAATAAAGTTTTGAGTCTAAGATGAATTGGCGATCACTATTAAAAATTTTTCAAATACCTAAATGTCAATTTGCTCATTCAGTTGACCCCATTTCATTAGTCATGATCCCTTGATAGCCTTAAATTCGAATTTGTGAACCTTATTTTCACCTGATATTGTTGACAATATTCTTTTCTAAGGTAATGAACAAATGAAACAGCCATTAGCAAATGTGTGGTTCATAAAAAATCAAGTCTATATGACTTTCTTTTTTTTAGAATTCAAATGCGATAATTGAATATGATAAGATTATGCTGCAGTTTCAAAATTTTCAAATCCAAAATACACTTAAGCATACTACCATTTCAGGTTTTTTATCCCAAAATTAACCCGATCCTTTGTCTTGAGGTATATTTGTCAGAAAAGAAATTTCTCATTACCTCTAAGGCAACTTGAGTTATGATTAACCCTTTTGTTCTCTTTTTGTGGAGTACCTTAGATCATTTGATACCTTAAACATGTTTACCTCACATAATCTTTTTCTTATCCCATTTCATATGACCTTCTTTTGTAATTGCTTTCATTATGGGTGGTTTGCTAAAATGGGGCATCTTTCATGAAACGTGTTACTGGCAAAATGAATCTAGGTGTGAACTATGGGAGCATAAAAAAAAATAAAACAACAAAAAGAGGAAAAAGAAAAAAAGAAAAAATTGGTTATGACATCATGCACTAAAAAATTTGAGCAAATCCAAAAAGGTCATGACAAAGTCAAGGTTTTGAAGAAAAAAAAAACAAAAATTTTTTTTGAGATTAAAAAGAAAAAAACCTTTTTCCAAGTTCATTTTCCTGAAGAGTAGTCTTCAATTTAAGTGTTTATGCTTGAAGTGACAAATGGCCATCTTTCATTATCTTTTCACAAAAATAAAAATTTATCTCTTGTTGCCCCTTTGAGCCTGATTGAATTCTTTCAAAATAAACCCTAACTAAGGATCACTTTTCATATTTGGAAAAAAAAACAAACAAAAAAAAATACGTTTGAAGGATACGAATGAGAATGTCTAATGGAATCTCATGTGATAAGGGCACAAACCCAGTATAAAAGTTCATAAAAGTTTTGAATCCACTTAGTGAAAGGGTGTAAAAAAAAAAAAAGGAAAGGAAGAATAAAAAAAAAGGGAAAGAAATGAATTGGTGGAAAGCACAAAATATAATATACCTTAGA